CAGCATCAAGATCTGGATGTCTGCCAATAAGAGTTGCAGGAGCTTGGGCAAATTACTTAATCTCTCTGAGCCTTAGTTTCCTCATGTGTAAATCTGCACCTAATTTATTCATTTTTATTTTTCTGAAGATTATTTATTTATTTATTTATTTATTTATTTGACAGAGAGAGGCATGGCAAGAGAAGGGAACACAAGCAGGGGGAGTGGGAGAGGGAGAAGCAGTCTTCCCGCTGAGCAGGGAGCCTGATGCGGGGCTCGATCCCAGGATCCTGGGATCCCAGGACCCTTCACCAAGCTGAAGGCAGAAGTTTAATGAGTGAGCTACCCAGACACCCTATGGCACCTAATTTAATAGAGTTGTGAGTTTTAAATGAAACAATCTGAGCATACTGCCCGGCATCCTGGGGGCATCCCCATGCTATATAACATCAAAACTCTTGGGGTGTTGGGAATGGGTAGAAGGGTTCCTGGGGATGGTTTCATAGGATAGTCCTGAGCAATGAAGAGTGAAAGCAACCCTGGCATCTGGCATTGGGTCCTGACAGCAACCATGAGTCAGCCCCAGGTGTCGAGGGACCAGCAGTGTTCTCAGCACTGCTGGGCGTGTGCTATGGTCACTTGGCCATGATCCTCTTCAGTCATGCTGTCTGAAAGTCATCCTTATAAATCTGGTCTGGTTTTTTTTCTTTTCTTCTTCAGAAAAACAGCCTCCACCATGTGATGTCATGGTCTAGCCTGGGTCAGAGAAGGAAGGGAGGAGGAGGTTGTGTGTATAGAGTTGGGTGAAACAGGATCTTTTTATTTCTGGAGGGGTCTATCTGGTCCTGGAAGAAACTCTCCTTCTCTCCTCTTTCAACCCCATCTTCAAGACCCAGTAAGAAATCAGTATTTGGATATAGAGTGAGAAGTAGATGATAAATCATAATGCTTAAGACATGAAGCTTAGGGGTGCCTGGGTGGCTCAGTTGGTGAAGCATCTGCCTTTGGCTCGGGTCGTGATCTCAGGGTCATGGGCTTGAGCCCCGCGGCAGGCTCCCTGCTCAGCGGGGAGACTGCTTCTCCCTCTCCCTCTGCCTGCCGCTCCCCCTGCTTGTGCTTTCTTTTTCTCTCTCTCTCTGTCAAATAAATAAATAAAATCTTAGGAAAAAAGAAAAGGACATGAAGCTTAGTTAGCATCAAGCAGTCCTAAGTTCAAATCCTGACTGCCACTTACTACCTCTGAGACCTTGGGCACATTACTCCTGTTTCCCCATTTTACCCACCGATAAGATAATTCTGATGTTATGGTAGTAAGGTTTTAAGAAATACTTGCAAAGCACTCAGCACATGTGTCAGAGAACACAATTACACATAGTAATTATTCAATAAATGGTAGCTACTATTAAGTCCCCGGCATTGATGAGGAATATGGCTTGATCATTTTCTCTGCTTTTTACCAACTTGAGAGCCAAAGTTTTCTCCAATAACCATTCTTGCCTCTGAGAGATGGCCAGTCTCCTCACACGGAGTGTGCCATCATTCTGGAGATGAGGAGATGGAGAGAGATGGAGTTGTTGTGTCCCTACACCTTTGTCTTCCCTCCCTTAGCTAGCTGGCTCCCTGCCTATAGCTCTTCTGGTCGTCCCTGCTGCCTCCCTGCCCTCTAAAGAAATCTGTCTCCTCTCTCCAGCTTGGAAGGATCAGCCCCTCCCAGCCAGGACTTCTGGCTCCCTGGACCCTGACTCTCCCCCACACCCTCTCCTGTGCTCTGTTCTTTATTTTGCAAACAGCTGGGGAAGAGGCCAGCATGTGTGAATGTTTCTACACTGTAGAGATGGTAATCCCAGGATGCTCTGCATGCAGTTTCATTGTGTAGGAGGCCCCCAGTGCTTTTTACTCCCCCCCCGCCCCCCCATGTTGCTCTGGATTTGTGTGTGAGTGTGTAGGGGGAAGGCTGAAGATTAGAAATGGCACTCCTAAGGTTCGAGTCACCTCTCCTCTTGCTTCAGGCAGGATGTTCCTTTGCCTTTAACAAGAAGGGAAATTTACATGGCAGTAGGATTCCCACGCAGAAGTCAATCTAGTTTGGGGCCAGAAATCTCAGGTCAATGTCCAGCTGGACCAAAACTAGATCCCTCTCTTCCTGAGCACTAGGAGTGGGTGTGGGATAGGGACAGAGGACTAAGGAGGTGTGTAGGAAACAAAGAGCAGTCTGCACTGGATATAAGACAAAGACTACAGATAATACTATACTACAGGTAAAAGGAAAGAAGCACATCTATATGTGCTATTGTGAAAAGAAGCCCAAGACATATTATTAAGAAAAAAAAGAAGTCAGCAAACAATGGAGATATTAAATCCCATTTATGCTTTTTTAAGTCCAAAAAATGTAGGGAAGTGAGTGAGAAAAGAATGAGGGTATAAAGTTTTCTGTGTTTAAATATTTTGCAATGAGTATATACTTGTGTATTACTTGCGATTAAAAAGTATATTCTTATAGCAAAAAGTATATATTTTAAGGCAGAAGTGGGCTTGGGAAGGGAAGGGAAGCGGGCCCCCAGGGGTGGAAAATAGGACTTCCATAAAAGAACCAGCCTTTGTTCCTGATGAAGCCGTTCTCTGTCCCCTCGCTGCACAACATGGGACTATCTTCTACATGGCAACTTGGAAGAAGAAAGTGAGGTCTCTGGTCCTCTTCAGCCCCAAAGGACCCTAATAGCAGACCCCCCAGTTACCAGGATGCCCCCAGGGGTCCATCAACCAAACAGCCAAACAACCAACTGGTAAGGAAAAGTGGAAAGAAGAAAATCAGGGGGAGGGAAAATTCCCAGATTTTCCAACAGGAAGGTTTAGACTCCCAAGTTCAGCAATGACAACAACAAGCTCCCTTTAGGAGGCCTCCACATCATGTTGCAAACTTAACCCCAGCTCCAGGCTAAAGATAACACTTTCTACGGAGTCACCTATATATTACCTTTTGACTCTAATGTCACGTGAAATTGTTGAGCTCCACAGATGTGAAATGACCTGCCCAGGATGACACAGCAACACAGAGACAGAATCTGCCTTCAGAATCCTAACCAGTGCTTGTTTGTTTGATTTTATCAATGATACCATACTGCCCTATTTAAAACCCAACATTTGTTTTTGTCAACTTTCATCTTGACCCCAACCCCAGTCCTAATTCACAGTGGGCTCAGTTGTTTCTGGCCCCAGCCCAGTGGAAATGGCTGGTTTTGTTTTCTGTCCCTCCATGTTTCCCCCTCCCATCTCATCAACCAGAAATTTCCCTCCTGACCATGTTTCCTTCTTGAAAAGGGCAATCTTGGGTGGGAGGACACGAATGGATTTAGTCACTGGCCTAAAATGACTCTGAGGCTGTCTGGCTCTTTTCTGCACATTGCAGAAGATGACTATCACCAGGAGGGCTTTGGGGCTCATGCCAAGTGGGCCACCTCCTTTCTTCTTCCAGATGCCTTACTAAGGCAATCTCTTGACCCTAGTGATGGAGGAGGACTACAGGCTTTCAGTGACCATTATGCAAGAGCCTAAGACCCTGAGGTGAAGATTTGAAGAGAGATCACGAAGGATAATTTGTGGTGGGCAGAAATCAGTAAACTGGAACAAGAGCAGCAGCTGAGTCCAGGGGTCAGTGTCTGGGAGTAATTTAGCAAAGTTCAGTGCTGACAGCTGTGTCTGGAGCTGAGCATCAGGGCCAAACCAGCTCCTGGGCTGCTCGGCTGCTTCAAGCTAATGAAGCTCTGGCTTAGGACACAGAGACAGCTGTGGTGTAGCAGAAGTCAGGGCCCCTGGGGCCCCAGGCTCAGCCTGCTGCTTCCCAGCAGTGTGCCCTTGGGCAAATCCTTAAGAAAGAAGAAAAGGAAACATCCACTGAGTGAGTGCAATGCCCTTTCACATGTCATCCTCACTCCTGCTTATCGAGAAGGATAATGTCCCTATCTTACATGGGGAGAAACAGATTGTCAAGGTAACCAAAGTCATTCTGGGCTATCTGGTTGTGGAGCAGGAAGACAGAAGTGGGATTTAGAGCTTCTGAGCTCAAGTTCTGGGCTCTTTCCCCTGAGCTTTAGCTTTTTTTCCCCGTAAAATGGGAACAAAAATGTACCCACTTTGTGAATGAAGTCACCCATGGTAGGTTCTAAACCCTTCCCTTCTCACAACCTTGGCCTTGAAGAGTAGTGGCCACCTTCTTCCTGGGAATGGAGTAATCTTTAACTTTTGCCCCTCCCCCCAATCCGGTTTGTAGCCACTTTCTTAGGAGGAATGAAGTAATCTTACTTTTGCCCTTCCCCCCAACCAGGTTTGTGGATCCAGGCCCCACGAGGTGCCTGGCAGAGAGGGTATTTGGACTCTGGTTTCCCCTCTGCCCCTATCCCCAGGCCTTCTCCCGACTCTGGAGGGCTGGCTCCCTCATCTCCTCCTCCCCAGTTTTGGCAGGCGGGCTAACATCAGTGGGTGTTCCCAGGGAAGGGGAATTCTGAGCCCGGCTCCAGGCGCCCCTTCCCCCACGGCCCAGGGCAGCCCCAACCCCCTGCCTTAGATACTGCGGCGTGGAGAGGCCCTCTGAACTCCCAGTCCCTTCCCTCTCCTCCAGGTCCGCGAGAGCAGGTCGCTAACCCCCTTCCTCGCCCCCGCAGCGAAGAAGAAAGGGAGATAGGGTCCCAGGAGCGGATGCTCGGAGACCCGGGCGAGTCCTGGGCGCCACGCGGCTGAGCCCAAGAAATGCATCCCGGTTCTGGGGTTACGAGGGGAGCTGTCCAGCCCCGCAGGGTGAGCTAGAGGAGAGAGTGGGCCAACTTCGACCCCGCGGAGGGAGCGGCGGGCGCCAGGGCCGGGTGGGGCAGCGACTCCCCCTCCAGCCCGCCGGCCCCGGGAGTCGCCCCCGCCCCCCACGTGGCCGCAGCCGTCCCAGCCCCTGCGAGGAAGCGGCGCGGCTTCCTGGGGCTTGGGCCGGGGATATAGGCGCCCCCGCCCGGGCCCGGCTTAGCGCCACCGCCCCTCCTCGCCTGCTCGCCGCGCGATGGCCTCGGTCCCGGCTGAGCGCGCCGCCGGCGGCCCGCGGCTCCCTACGACCCGCGCCGGGCGACCGGCTGCGCTCCGCCTCCTCCTTCTCCTGGGCGGTGAGCGCTGCGCCCCGGGGCCGGTGTGGGAGGCGCGGGAGGCCCGGAGGGGAGGGGGGCTGGACGGCCGAGACCGAAACGGGCCCTAGGGTGCAGGCGGCACAGCGCTGTCCTCGGACCGTCCCCGGCCCCACTTCGGTGAGGGCTCAGCGCGAGCTGCTTCCCTCTTGTAGGAACCTGGGATGCCGGGGCCCCGCGGAGAGGTCTTGGGAGGTCTGGGGCTGGGGAGGAGGAAGAGGATTTGGGGTGTAGATGTGCGTGGGAGAGAGCTAGTGTCAGCCCTCTCTTCCAGTCACTGAGGCACCCCTTGGGGGCCTGGATTATTCCTTTTTCTCTTCTGAAAGTAGCCCTGACTTCCTAGGGTCTCAGATCCCTCCTCCAGACTCCACTGCTTAGATCCCCGCCATCCTATCTCCCTCTCCCATTTCTGTTCACAGCTGTCCTGAAGCCCCAGGAGTCCCTGGCTCAGGTTCCTCCCACTGAAAGCAGTTTGAAGACAAAAGGTGTGTATTCCACGGCTCTGGGAGGGTGGCCTAGGGCAACGAGAGGAGAGCCAGGTCGGAGGGGAGGGTCCCTTTCCCACAACCCCAATTGGCAGCCCATTAAGCCCCCCTTCTGTTCTCTCCTGGGGTTCCTTGTGGTCCTTCTCCCTCATCCCACATGACCCCCACCCAGCTCTGAGCTGGCTCACCTCACAGGTGGGTTAGAAGACCCCAGAAAAAGTGTGTGGATGTCCTTGTGGGGCTGGCACATGGAAGGCATTAACATTTTTCTGAACTGAGACTCTTTCCTTGGAAAACTTTCTGAGACTCTCCTGGTGTTTGCCATGTTCGAAGACAGAACAGTGGAAATACCTGGACCGGAGGGCTTGGAGGGAGGGGCAAGGGTGTGGTCAGTGTGAAGCAATCTGTGCCCACAGGGGACAAGATGGAGAACTATGAGAGGACTATCCAACTTTGCTGGCAATCTTATAAGGAGCAGATGGACTCTATCCCCAAGCATTGGTGTGACTGGGCCATGATTAGCAGGTAGGGGCAGTGCCCGGCAGCTTGGGCCCGGGGAGGGGCCTGCTCCTTGTGGGTGGGCCTTGAGTGAGTGTGGGCATTCCCCTCTCTGGGCCCAACCCATACTCATTCTAGTCTTCCCTTACCCCCAGGCCTTATAGCGACCTTCAGTATTGCTTGGAGCATTTTGCAGAAGTATTTCACCTGGGCTTCCCCAATCCCCGAGCAGAAGAGATCATCTTTGAGACTCACCAGATCCACTTTGCCAACTGCTCCCTGGTGCAGCCCACCTTATCAGACCCCCCAGAGGATGTGCTCCTGGCCATGATCATAGCCCCAATCTGCCTCATCCCTTTCCTCGTCACCCTTGTGGTGTGGAGGAGTAAAGACAGTGAAGCCCAGGCCTAGGGTGGTATGAGCTTTTCTTCACAGCCATCTTATCCTACTCCTTTTCCCTGCCACCACCAGGTCTCTGTTCCCCTCCCTGCCCTGCCTCTTTCTCTCATTCCCACGCCCACCACAGATCCTTGGACTGGTGGAAATGGAAACCCAGTGGTGTCACGGCATAAGTTCTGTAATCTTCAAAATAAAACTTTTTTTTGTACTGTCCCCTCCCCATCCCAGAGTTTCTGCCATTCTCACAGCTCTGGGCCGCAGAACTGGAAGAATCTGGATAGCAGCACTGTTTTGTTCGCTTGCCTGCTCCCCACTATCCCCCTCCCCCCACCTGAAGGCCACCCCCTCCACTGCTTCCTCCCAAGGCTGGGCCTTTCCTGTCCTTACCCAAAGCCAGCACCAGGAAACATACAGGAAAGAGACTCCCTTCCGGTCTGGACAGCAGCTGGGGAGGTGTGGGGGGAGGAGCAAGGGTGGAATCTCTGCTGTGACTCCTGCCAGAAGGAAGGGGGACCATCCAGGAGCTCCGAATTTTCCTCTTCTTCATGCCTCAATTTACTCCCAGGGCCCGGGAATAGGAACTGTGATATGACCAAGAAGAGTCCATCCCTAACGACCTCAGGATTGAGGGCAAGGGCAGTGGGGACTTACTCTACTAAGTTCACCACAGGACTCCCCTTCCAGGTCCCTGGCCTCATCCTATGTTGTCCTGGACCCTGGGGGTGTGGCCTATAGCCTGGCAGCACACTGCCTCCTGGTGTCCACTAGAGCTAACAGCCAGGAGATGGACATGATCTGGAAGAAGCTCAAAGCTGAGGAGACTGGACCCTGGGATCAGACATCTGTCATCCCATAGCACTCACTAGTTCTTAGCTGGAACTAAGTCAGCTCTCAGCTTCCTAAGCCATACTGATACTCCCTTAAGACACCTTCCCACTTCCTAGGGACATACCTAGTCTCTGAACTCATTATTTCATATACACTCTTACATGTTCCCCAGACAGTGAGGCCCAGTTGTTTGACAGAGGACCGTAACTTCCAGTTCTTCCAGATCATCAAAAATACAAGAGAACAACTTTGTTCTCCATAAAGACACCTATTTATTCTTTATGTCACCTGGAGCCTCTTCAGGGACTTTTCCTACCCCCCACCTTGCTGAAATATTTACCTCTCTGAGAACATGCATATCCATTTCCTGGGACATGCCCATCCATTCCATAGATATATACCTGTATGCTTCCTAGAATGTATCTATTCATCCTCTGAGACAGACTTCTCTTCTCAGGACATGCCTGTCTCTCTAGAGGCATATCTGTTTCCTGGGGCATTTTAAGTTTTCACCTGAGATAAGTCATTCCTCTGTTTCCATGAATGCACTGGTCTTCCCCAGGGATATAACTGTTCTCTTCTTGGCCCATATTTGCCTTCCTGTGTTTTACTAATATACATCAAGGGCATGCTGGTATAAGATACTGTGTACGGTATATTTTGTTGGAAAAATAAGTTAGATAAGGCTTAGTTTCTGCTCTCAATGGCTTCCATCTAATAGGGGAGGTGACACGTACACAAACAAACAAAAGCAATGGAGTGTGTGATGAGAGTCATGCAAGGGATACAAACCAAATGTTATCTAAGTGCAAAAAAATGAGGGGTCACATCTAGCTGAGGTGTGATCACAGGAGGGTGATTATGGAATTAGTATATGACTAGACCTTAAGATGGAGTGCATTTCCCCTAGAGAAGAGAGTAAAAAAACAGGGGTGAATTAGGAAATTATTGTAATATTCCAGGCGTGAGAAAAAGAGGACATGGGCCAAAGGAGTGATGAATGAGGAAGTAGAAAATAAAAAGTAGGAGAGATGATTAAAAACAAGGGAGGGAATCAGCAGGATTTGGAAATGAAGGAGAGGAGAGGTTAGGGCTGACTCAGGCTTTGAATCTGAGTTACTAGGACAATGATGGAAGTAATGATAGAAAATGGCTATTAGGAAGAGGAGCTGGCAAGAAGAAAAGGATGTACAATATGAGCTGCCAATAGAACAAGCTTTTATGTCCCACAGAGAGTTAGAAATGGGAGGGGTGGTGGTGGTGGTGGAAATACAGATTTAGGAGTGTTTTGCACAGAAATGCCAAGTGAAGCCATGAAAGGGATGAAAGTTCTCAAGACAGAAGGTGTGTTGAAAAGAAAGCTGAGGTTAGAGTCTTAGGAAATACACACATTTAAAGAATGAGGGGGAAATGAGACAAAGAGAAAGATCAGAGAGACAGTGGCAGAACAAGGATAAAGCAGTGCCATGGAAGCAAAGGACATAGTGCCCTTTGAAAGAACATTATCAATTGAATGGTTCATCCATTCATGCAACAGATATTTGCTGGGCACTTTGGTAGATCAGGAACTGTGCACAATGAAGGATGGACTTGAGTGGGGGAAAGGTTAAAGATCAGATAGGAAATTGAGAGGGTGACAAAGTCAAGGAAACTGTACATATTTTCAAATATGGGTGACCTGAGCATGTTTGTCAACTAGGGGAGAGGAGCCAGAGGAAAAGAAAAGAGGGAAGATGATATACAAAGAAGTCCTAGAGGCAGTTGGAAAGGAGAGGTAAGGGCGCTGGGTGGCTCAGTTGGTTAAGCGACTGCCTTCGGCTCAGGTCACGATCCTGGAGTCCCGGGATCGAGTCCCACATGGGGCTCCTTGCTCAGCAGGGAGTCTGCTTCTCCCTCTGACCCTCTTCCCTCTCGTGCTCTCTATCTCTCATTCTCTCTCTCTCAAATAAATAAATAAAATCTTAAAAAAAAAAAAAGGAAAGGAGAGGTAAGAAGATATGCCAAAGGGTTGGTCTTGTAAAGGAAGAGTGACACTTCTTCCTTTGAGTCCAAAAGGAAGACGTAAGCGTGGAAAGGAATTCTTGTGGGAAGAATCAAGTGTGGTGACAGACAGAGGAGGAACGACCAGGAGCTTCAAATGCTTGGCCTCAAGTTCACAAAATAGGAAGGGCATTCTGCAGAGAGAAAGAAGATGGAGACAGGTGGAATGACTTGATGAATGGAAACATTTGAAGAGTTACCCGGAGGGATGTGACAGGGAGTCAATAAAAGACAGTGCTGGGCTGCACTGAGAGCCCAGCAGTGAGGTTAGTCGGAACCTGGGGCTCAGCCAGCATGTTCTGTGGTTTTCTTCCAGTAGTACAACTCAGCAGGAGTTGGGGGGAGGGGTAGAGGAACAACAACCCTGGTTTGTTAAGTGACAGCAGGTAGGCAAGCAAGGGGACAGAATGGGGTAGTCTAGACTGGGTAAGGAGTCAAATAAGACCAAAATGGGTGTGGGGACTTGAGACTAGGAAAGTGAGGACGTGAGAGATAGATGGCTGTGGTCAAAGCGGGCAGCTCTGAATCATGGAAGCCGAAACTTTTCCAGCAATAAAAGGTACAAATGTGCTCCTACGGGTGCCGCAGGAGACCAGGGAATGTTGGGGTCGAAGGACATAGCAATTGAAGAGACTGGGGAATTGTGAGGTGTTTGTTAAATGCAACTGACACGGATGTTAATATTAAAAGCAGCTGAGCAGAGGGGAAACAAGCCTAGGCAGTTCTATCAAACTGTGCCGCTTTGGAGAAGTCACTGCCCTTCTCTAGAGCTGAATGAGAAGACTTCTCGGGGGCTCTAAACGGTAAGGATTTTTAGGATAATGGTAAGGGACTGGCTGATAGCAGGATCCCTTCCGTTGGGCCGCCCCTCTCCGAAGAGGCGTCCGGAACCTTTCTGCTGTGCTTTTTGCCCGGACGTGCTGAAGCGGAGGCCGGAAGTCCTTTGCCCGGAGGTTCCGGGTTTCCTGGGCTACTACAATGGCGATGAGTTTCGAGTGGCCGTGGCAGTATCGCTTCCCGCCCTTCTTTACGTGAGGCTCAGACCCCGAGAAGCCCCGCTGTGCCTCCCTCCCCTGCCCCGGACCCCGGGCTCAGCCCTGATGCTTCAAATGGGGAGGGGGAGAAAGGACCCGATCGCCACCACCCTCAGTCCCCCACTTTGTCCCCCAGAAGCGCCTCCGGCAAGTGCTGCCTCTCGCTCTCTCACGCCCTCTAATTCTGCGCCCCACCCCCTTCACCCGGCAGGTTGCAGCCGAACGTGGACACTCGGCAGAAGCAGCTGGCCGCCTGGTGCTCGCTGGTCCTGTCCTTCTGCCGCCTGCACAAACAGTCCAGCATGACGGTGATGGAAGCTCAGGAGAGCCCGCTCTTCAACAACGTGAAGCTACAGCGTATCCTCCCTCAGGCTCTTCCACAGCCTACACACATGCACTTCCACGTTTTCCCACATGCCCAGACTTCACACCCCCCCTTCACCCACCGTAGGCAGATTCCCACCCAAACTGGACTTGGGAAAGAGCTAGTATGTGTTAGCTGACTTCCATTTTATCCCCAAACCCCAACGCAAATGCAGCCTCAAACCCTCTTGTCCTAGCCAGTGACAAGTACCCAGGTGTCATTCAGGTCTTAGAATCTCTGCCCTGAAGCCAAGTACCAAGCTTTTCAGCCCAAGCCCTTTTGACTCTGAATCTCCTGTCCTCTTACTGAGTGAAGCTCAAACTCTGGTACTACCTTTAGTAATTTTCTCCACCTACTCTCTTCCTCCCAGGAAGTAAAGGTCATTGGTTTTTGCTGCCTGATTCATACCTAAAGTATCTGTGGAGAAAGTCTGAAGGAAGGAGAGAGGACAGAGGGTGACAGATGATAGTACTGTTCATTTCTAAAGCTCTTCCCTTTTTTTTTTTTTTAAGATTTTATTTATTTGACAGAGAGAGCACAAGCAGAAGGGGAGAGAGGGAGAAGTAGGCTCCCTGCTGAGCAAGGAGCCCGATGTGGGACTCGATCCCAGGACCCTGGGATCATGACCCGGGCCGAAGGCAGCTGCTTAACCGACTGAGCCACCCAGGCGTCCCTAAAGCTCTTCCCTTTAATTGGACTAGTTTTTTACCTTCCTCCCCCCGATATCCAGGAAATGCCAATTTATAGCCTGTTGGGGAATTGCACATATATGTATGTGGGAGGGAGAGGAGGGGGACAGATGGTTCTCAACATGACACTGGCCCTGAGAATTTTTATCCCACCCAACTCAGTCCATCAATGCCCTTCCCTTAACTTTAAACCAGGGAAACTCCCTGTGGAATCAATCCAGGTTGTTTTAGAGGAACTAAGGAAGAAAGGTGGGTTCAGGTCCTCAG